CAGAAAAGCAGAACTTAATATTTGGTACAGAAACCTTTATTTGCAATTACAGAGATCATACGTGTGGTCCTCTGTAGCTCAGCTGGTAGAGCACGGCGCTTGTAACGCCAAGGTAGTGGGTTCGATCCCCGGGACCACCCATACACAAAAATTTATGCACGCATGACTGTAAGTCGCTTTGGATAAAAGCGTCTGCTAAATGGCATATTATTATTATTATTATTATTATACGTTTCCTGTAGGTCTTGACCAGGTTTGCACACACTGCAGCAGGGATTTTGGCCCACTCCTCCATACAGACCTTCTCCAGATCCTTCAGGTTTCGGGGCTATCGCTGGGCAATACAGACTTTCAGCACCCTCCAAAGATTTTCTATTGGGTTCAGGTCTGGAGACTAGCTAGGCCACTCCAGGACCTTGAGATGCTTCTTACGGAGCCACTCCTTAGTTTCCCTGGCTGTGTGTTTCGGGTCGTTGTCATGCTGGAAGACCCAGCCACGACCCATCTTCAATGCTCTTACTGAGGGAAGGAGGTTGTTGGCCAAGATCCCGCGATACATGGCCCCATCCATCCTACCCTCAATATGGTGCAGTCGTCCTGTTTCCTTTGCAGAAAAGCATCCCCAAAGAATGATGTTTCCACCTCCATGCTTCACGGTTGGGATGGTGTTCTTGGGGTTGTACTCATTCTTCTTCTTCCTCCAAACACGGCGAGTGGAGTTTAGACCAAAAAGCTCTATTTTTGTCTCATCAGACCACATGACCTTCTCCCATTCCTCCTCTGGATCATCCAGATGGTCATTGGCAAACTTCAGACGGGCCTGGACATGCGCTGGCTTGAGCAGGGGGACCTTGCGTGCGCTGCAGGATTTTAATCCATGACGGCGTAGTGTGTTACTAATGGTTTTCTTTGAGACTGTGGTCCCAGCTCTCTTCAGGTCATTGACCAGGTCCTGCCGTGTAGTTCTGGGCTGACCCCTCACCTTCCTCATGATCATTGCCCCACAAGGTGAGATCTTGCATGGAGCCCCAGACCGATGGTAATTGACCGTCATCTTGAACTTCTTCCATTTTCTAATAATTGCGGCAACAGTTGTTGCCTTCTCACCAAGCTGCTTGCCTATTGTCCTGTAGCCCATCCCAGCCTTGTGCAGGTCTACAATTTTATCCCTGGTGTCCTTACACAGCTCTCTGGTCTTGGCCATTGTGGAGAGGTTGGAGTCTGTTTGATTGAGTGTGTGGACAGGTGTCTTTTATACAGGTAACGAGTTTAAACAGGTGCAGTTAATACAGGTAATGAGTGGAGAACAGGAGGGCTTCTTAAAGAAAAACTAACAGGTCTGTGAGAGCCGGAATTCTTACTGGTTGGTAGGTGATCAAATACATATGTCATGCAATAAAATGCACATGAATTACTTAAAAATCATACAATGTGATTTTCTGGATTTTTGTTTTAGATTCCGTCTCTCATAGTTGAAGTGTACCTATGATAAAAAATACAGACCTCTACATGCTTTGTAAGCAGGAAAACGTACAAAATCAGCAGTGTATCAAATACTTGTTCTCCCCACTGTATCTCTCTCTCTCTCTCTCTCTCTCTCTCTCTCTCTATATATATATATATATATATATATATATATATATATATATATATATATATATATATATATACAGTGAGGGAAAAAAGTATTTGATCCCCTGCTGATTTTGTACGTTTTCCCACTGACAAAGACATGATCAGTCTATAATTTTAATGGTAGGTTTATTTGAACAGTGAGAGACAGAATAACAACAAAAAAATCCAGAAAAATGCATATAATTTTTTTTATAAATTGATTTGCATTTTAATGAGGGAAATAAGTATTTGACCCCTTTGCAAAACATGACTTAGTACTTGGTGGCAAACGTTTCTTGTAATTGGCCACCAGGTTTGCACACATCTCAGGAGGAATTTTGTCCTACTCCTCTTTGCAGATCTTCTCCAAGTCATTAAGGTTTCGAGCCTGACGTTTGGCAACTCGAACCTTCAGCTCCCTCCACAGATTTACTATAGGATTAAGGAATGGAGACTGGCTAGGCCACTCCAGGACCTTAATGTGCTTCTTCTTGAGCCACTCCTTTGTTGCCTTGGCCGTGTGTTTTAGGTCATTGTCATACTGGAATACCCATCCACGACCCATTTTCAATGCCCTGGCTGAGGGAAGGAGGTTCTCACCCAAGATTTGACGGTACATGGCCCCGTCCATCGTCCCTTTGATGCGATGAAGTTGTCCTGTCCCCTTAGCAGAAAAACATCCCCAAAGCATAATGTTTCCACCTCCATGTTTGACGGTGGGGATGGTGTTCTTGGGGTCATAGGCAGCATTCCTCCTCCTCCAAACACGGCGGGTTGAGTTGATGCCAAAGAGCTCCATTTTGGTCTCATCTGACCACAACACTTTCACCCAGTTCTCCTCTGAATCATTCAGATGTTCATTGGCAAACTTCAGACGGGCCTGTATATGTGCTTTCTTGAGCAGGGGGACCTTGCGGGCGCTGCAGGATTTCAGTCCTTCACGGCGTAGTGTGTTACCAATTGTTTTCTTGGTGACTATGGTCCCAGCTGCCTTGAGATCATTGACAAGATCCTCCCGTGTAGTTCTGGGCTGATTCCTCACCGTTCTCATGATCATTGCAACTCCACGAGGTGAGATCTTGCATGGAGCCCCAGGCCGAGGGAGATTGACAGTTATTTTGTCTTTCTCTGTTGTCACCTTCACACCAAGCTGCTTGGCGATGGTCTTGTAGCCCATTCCAGCCTTGTGTAGGTCTACAATCTTGTCCCTGACATCCTTGGAGAGCTCTTTGGTCTTGGCCATGGTGGAGAGTTTGGAATCTGATTGATTGATTGCTTCTGTGGACAGGTGTCTTTTATACAGGTAACAAACTGAGATTAGGAGCACTCCCTTTAAGAGTGTGCTCCTAATCTCAGCTCATTACCTGTATAAAAGACACCTGGGAGCCAGAAATCTTTCTGATTGAGAGGGGGTCAAATACCTATTTCCCTCATTAAAATGCAAATCAATTTATAAAATTTTTGACATGCGTTTTTCTGGATTTTTGTTGTTGTTATTCTGTGTCTCACTGTTCAAATAAACCTACCATTAAAATTATAGACTGATCATGTCTTTGTCAGTGGGCAAACGTACAAAATCAGCAGGGGATCAAATACTTTTTTCCCTCACTGTATGTATATATATATATATACACTGCTAAACAACACAATGTAACTCCAAGTCAATCACACTTCTATTAAATCAAACTGTCCACTTAGGAAGCAACACTGATTGACAATACATTTCACATGCTGTTTTGCAAATGGATAGACAACAGATGGAAATTATAGGCAATTAGCAAGACACCCCCAATAAAGGACTGGTTTGCAGGTGGTGACCACAGACCACTTCTCAGTTCCTATGCTTCCTGGCTGATGTTTCGGTCACTTTTGAATGCTGGCGGTGCTTTCACTCTAGTGGTAGCATGAGACGGAGTCTACAACCCACACAAGTGGCTCAGGTAGTGCAGCTCATCCAGGATGGCACATCAATGCGAGCTGTGGCAAGAAGGTTTGCTGTGTCTGTCAGCGTAGTGTCCAGAGCATGGAGGCGCTACCAGGAGACAGGCCAGTACATCAGGAGACGTGGAGAAGGCCGTAGGAGGGCAACAACCCAGCAGCAGGACCGCTACCTCCGCCTTTGTGCAAGGAGGAGCAGGAGGAGCACTGCCAGAGCCCTGCAAAATGACCTCCAGCAGGCCACAAATCTGCATGTGTCTGCTCAAACGGTCAGAAACAGACTCCATGAGCGTGGTATGAGGGCCCGACATCCACAGGTGGGGGTTGTGCTTACAGCCCAACACCGTGCAGGACGTTTGGCATTTGCCAGAGAACACCAAGATTGGCAAATTCGCCACTGGCGCCCTGTGCTCTTCACAGATGAAAGCAGGTTCACACTGAGCACATGTGACAGACGTGACAGAGTCTGGAGACGCCGTGGAGAACGTTCTGCTGCCTGCAACATCCTCCAGCATGACCGGTTTGGCGGTGGGTCAGTCATGGTGGGGTGGCATTTCTTTGGGGGGCCGCACAGCCCTGGGTTCCTCCTAATGCAAGACAATGCTAGACCTCATGTGGCTGGAGTGTGTCAGCAGTTCCTGCAAGAGGAAGGCATTGATGCTATGGACTGGCCCGCCCGTTCCCCAGACCTGAATCCAATTGAGCACATCTGGGACATCATGTCTCGCTCCATCCACCAACGCCACATTGCACCACAGACTGTCCAGGAGTTGGCGGATGCTTTAGCCTCATCAGGAGCATGCCCAGGCGTTGTAGGGAGGTCATACAGGCACGTGGAGGCCACACACACTACTGAGCCTCATTTTGACTTGTTTTAAGGACATTACATCAAAAGTTGGATAAGCCTGTAGTGTGGTTTTCCACTTTTAATTTTGAGGGTTACTCCAAATCCAGACCTCCATGGGTTGATAAATTTGATTTCCATTGATAATTTTTGTGTGATTTTGTTGTCAGCACATTCAACTATGTAAAGAAAAAAGTATTTAATAAGATTATTTCATTCATTCAGATCTAGGATGTGTTATTTTAGTGTTCCCTTTATTTTTTTGAGCTATATGAGCTATATATATATATATATATATATATATATATATATATATATATATATATATATATTCCGGACACTGACATTGCTCATTACGATATTTCTTAATTTATTTATTTTAATTATTTTGATTTTGTGTGTTTTGCATTGATAGGTATTACTGCACTGTTGGAGCTAGAAACATAAGCATTTCTCTGCACCTGCGAGAACATCTGTAAAATATTTGTACTCGACCAATACATTTTATTTGTTTAGGTTAAATAAAATAGAATTTGCCATGATGTTTAACAACAAATCATGCAATTAAGAAAAATGTCTATTCATCCAGATAAATCCATGCCTAATGGTTTGTGCTCCTCCTCTCTCAGGATCAGTTCCTCCATACTACAGGGAGGTGTATGAGGCCATCCGGAGTAAGATAGATGAACGAGTGCAGGTTGAGGTCTTCCAGAGGTTGCTCAGCAGGACAGATCTTCCCAGTGCTGTGCAGGGCCAGGTGAACACAAAACGTTTGCTTTACTTGTCACAGCTATAATTAGAATGCCCGCCAAATGTGGAAAGGAAGTTTGTGGTTAGGTTTTTTAGGCTCATGTTTTTGTTGTTATCACACAGAAGCACAGACTGGTTTGTTATGTATTAGGGTTTTCTATCTGCTTCCCTTCTTGGAACTCCAAGAAAAGTGAACAAGACATTCTTCAGAATAGGAGGTAGACACTAGACAGAAAATACTTGCAAAATATCTAGCGCTCTTTGATACAAACCATTCAACTCTATCCAAAGACCCTCTCAAGCCTATATTTGTTTTACCACTAAGTACTAAGGGGGTAATTACAATACTAGTTCCAACACCAGTTATTAGTAAGGGTGTTTTCTCCAAACTATCTCCTTGCTGCCTTTTAATTAGTGGTATTTGCTTCAGTAAAGCTTACTCGAAAGTGATGGTATTTGAGGGGATGACGTTTAAAAGTTGTGTTATTAAGTGCACATGGACATGGAAAATATAATGTGTTACACATTATCCATGGAAACACTTCATAGATTTATTTCAGCTGAGGCCTCATGGTTCAGTTTGATGTCTCTTACTGTAGTATATCAATACTAAAGTGTTTTCTGCATTTTCTTGTCAACCACTGCTGGATTTAGACCTTGGATTGAGCAATGACCTTTTAAGAGAGTCATAGTATGTCCTTGTCTTTTCCAGATTGCTGAGCATGTTAACTACACTGATGGATTCTTAAGCAAGTTGTCCCTCTATAAAGCACTGGCGTTGATTGCACTTGCTCAGCAAGGAAAGCAACCAAGCCCGAAACTCTTGGAGAACTGCATACAAGGTAAGCCTTTGAACTAGTTGTTTTCAAGTGAGGACACCGCAGTAAATGTGTAGCTTAATGAGTAGCTTGACTGTTTAGTATCTAAGGTCAAGAACCATTGTGACTCCTATAAACAGCTTGTGTGAGAAAGTTCAGTTCACTATATATTTATTGTGTGAAGTTTAATATGCATGTGACAAGCTAAAGTACACATTGTATTTGCACACAAAACAAGCAAGTGTGCTGTGCCAAAAAGGTGGTCCTAGTTTTAACATAGTGTGTTGTATGTGTTGGCCGGTTTCCTCTAACCGCTGGGCATTGCGTCCAGGAATACACCAGCTCCCGTCCCAGAGAGTTACAGGAAGAACTCTTCCCTCTCTCTCATGTACACTTGTATTTCTTGATTATATGAATCAATTTACTTTCACATGCTGCGGCTAGGTTTTTGTGAAGAAAAGCATGAGTGTTACAGTGTACAGTACCATTAAGTTGGAGAGGAGGATGAGTCTTTGATTTTTCAGAGGTAGCCATTACTCCAAACACAGCCCTGAGTTAGAGCTCTGTTCCAAAGCTCATATGATTATTTAGGGCCCTCTGTGTTATTTCAGGTGCTGCCAATATGGCAGCTGACTGCTTTCTGTGAAACTGATGTCATGTTTTCTCTGCTGAGCTATGGTAGAACTGGTTTCCTGGTTGTTGTAGGAAGTTGATTAACTCTGCTCATACCTCTCTGTGAAATGTGCAAGGAGGGTTGAATTCAGGATCACATGAATCACACCCTCATCACTGTTGTTTGAAAGACTGTGGGGATCTAGATGTGATGCCTAGTTTAGAAAGAATGCATTAATGATTAAATATAATAGGTTTGTACTGTACTGTTGTTTCACATAACAAGCTGTGATTCATGTGAGGAACGTTAGGGGGTAGGATGAGATAAGACTTGTATTTCTCACAGACACGAACACTGCCTCTTTGTGATCTGTGAACCAGATTTGAATACCAGATTTGAATTGACGCAACTTAACAAGACGAAAGAGACATTTGAGTTTAGGGAGAGGCATGTGTGCTTTCTGATGGTGTCAAGTCTAGTTTCCTCAATATTACGAAAGGTGTACCGCAGAGGTCGGTATTGGGACCTGTTCTCTTTACTATTTATATACAGTGGCGTGAAAAAGTATCTGCCCCCTTTCTAATTTTCTTTACTTTTGCATATTTTTTATACTGAATATTATCAGATCTTCAACAAAAACCTAATATTAGATAAAGGGAACCTGAGTGAACAAATAACACTACAATTATATACTTATTTAATTTATTTCATAAATAAAGTTATGCAACACCCAATGCCCCTGTGTGAAAAAGTAATTGCCCCCTTACACTCAATAACTAGTTGTGCCACCTTTAGCACAACCAGGAACCAAACGCTTCCTGTAGTTGTTTATTAGTCTCTCACGTCGCTGTGGAGGAATTTTGGCCCACTCTTCCATGCAGAACTGCTGTAACTCAGCGACATTTGTGGGTTTTCAAGCATGAACTGCTTGTTTCAAGTCCTGACACAACATCTCAATTGGGATTAGGTCTGGACTTTGACAAGGCCATTCCAAAACTTAAAATGTGTTGCTTTTTACCCATTTTCATGTAGACTTGATTGTGTGTTTTGGATCATTGTCTTGCTGCATGGCCCAGCTGCGCTTCAGCTCACAGACGGATGGCCTGACATTCTCCTGTAGAATTCTCTGATACAGAGCAGAATTCATGGTTCCTTCTATTAAGGCAAGTCGTCCAGGTCCTGAGTCAGCAAAGCATCCCCAAACCATCACACTACCACCACCATGCTTGACCGCTGGTTTGAGGTTCTTACTGGGGAATGCAGTGTTTGGTTTTCGCCAGGCATAATGGGTCCCATGTTGTCCAAAAAGTTATACTTTTGAATCATCTTTTGAATCAATAATAGAACATTCTTGCAAGAGTCTTCATGATCATCCAGGTGCTTTTTGGCAAACTTGAGTCAACTTTTTGGACGACATGGGTGCCATTATGCCTGGCGAAAACCAAACACTGCATTCCACAGTTGACCAAGCTATGTTAGAGCTGCGATCTGATTTTGTTGCATTACAGAAAGCCCTTGTTGATTTAAAACGTGTACTTAATGCGGGCAAAACTAAATATATGTTATTCTCTAAGATGAGCTGCATATTCACTAATTGGATGGTTCTCTCATCGAGCGGGTTCCCGCCAATAAATATCTGGGCGTTTGGATTGATAAAGATCTAACGTTTAAAAAACATACTGATTAGCTAGTTAAAAAGCTAAGATTTAATGTGGGCTTCTTTTATCTTGTCTCTCCATGAACAGCAGGAAGCTCTGCTCCACAAGTTTCCAACATACCTCACTTCCCTGTTTAAATATTAAAATATGAGATACCAATCCCGTTCTGAGGTTTTCTTAACTCTTGAGGTCCCAGTTGTCTCCACAAAGTTTGGTAAATTTGCCTTTAGTTTTAACGCACCACAGTTATTGAATACCTTACTAAACAAATTACACCTGGATTCCCTGGTACCGATAGGGCAGTTTTTAAAACTCTGTTGTTAAATGAGTTCACTGAAGTGTGCAGTTGTTTCAATTGACTATTATAACTTGTTGTAATAATCGTATGTAATGTATTTATAGCTGTCTTGTAGTTTATTTTCTATATTTTGTTGTTGTATTGATTACATTTTTGTCCTCAAGGCACCATTGCAAAAGAGACACTGGTCTCTTTTGGGCTCCCCTGATTAAATAAATGTTTTTTAAAAATGTGAATGGGAGAATTCAAGTGTCTGAAGGATCAGACTTTTATTTTATTTATTTATTTCACCTTTATTTAACCAGGCAAGTCAGTTAAGAACAAATTCTTATTTACAATGACGGCCTACACCGGCCAATTGTGCGCTGCCCTATGGGACTCCCAATCACGGCCGGTTGTGATACAGCCTGGAATCGAACCAGGGGGTCTGTAGTGAAGCCTCAAGCACTGAGATGCAGTGCCTTAGACCGCTGCGCCACTCGGGAGCCCCCAGGATCAGACTTACCGTCTGATCCTTCAGACACTTGAATTCTCCCATTCACATAAGGGAGGTGAAATGTCAAATGTACATTGGAACATGCTTGCTTTTCCCACACAACATGGATGTGTGTAGTAAAACATTTTTATTCAAACCTGCACTACAGGGAATCATAAATTATGTATATTAGTTCAATACAGCTGGATGTGTACACCTTGTCTGTGAGCATAGCTGTGCTGATTGCCTTCTAGATAAATGAGTATATGAGAGCATTGGTTACTCATGTTTGACTTGGTGTTTGTTTGAAAGAGTTCCCTAAGCCCCAACTTGGTGAGTTCAAGGACCTCCAGAATCTGAGGATGCAGCCAACTCAGGAGAGCCCCCTCACAGTGTCCCAGACCCTGGGCAAGCTGCTGGCCAGGGATACAGTCCAGGTGGAGCTAATTCCTGAGAAGAAGGGTCTGTTCCTCAAACACGTGGAGTACCAGATCACCAGCCAGGTGAAGGCTGCATTTAATTATATATGATCGTAACAAAAATGGCCTTCGTTAGAAGAAGGAAATTATTCATAAAAAACGTCAAGCACATACTTTACCATATATTTACCTTTTTAATTTTTACTAGGAATTTTGATCATAACTCCAAAAAGCCAGTAATTCCCTCTGGCTCTATTGTTGGCTCCTCAATTATTTCTGGATTTTTGGCTTGGTGAAACGAATGGCTTTAATGCTTGTTATAAAGGGTCCATCTAAGAATTAATGTATACATACTGTACATTGCATCGTTTACACTGGATGCCTCAGCTGAACAGAGCTGGTGTTGTTTCTGTGCAGTGAGCATTTACAATCAGTATGAACCAAAGCCAACGCATGACAAACACATCCATTGTCAATATATTTGTTGAATTCACAACCCAAAGCATTATGTTATTTTGTACATCTCGGTTATTCACTGATAATGTTTGTTTTAACTTTTGTAGCGTTTTAAGATATCCGTTTACCGGCGGTACAGTGATTTCGATGTCTTCCACGAGCTCTTACTGCAGAGGTTTGCCTACAGAATGGTGCCTGCACTGCCGCCTAAGAGAATGCTGAAAGGAGGTATATATAGGATGTCAGTCAGAACATTTGCTTATTAGGAGGAGAGTGAGGCTTTGATCTGTAGATACTAGTGTTCCAATCTGCATCAGAGCTGGGGTCCCGCTGCCCCAAGGGAACTCCAATGGTATTAATCCAACTTCACTCCGTGTTCCTACAGCAGACATTAACTATGTCTTTATATTACCATTATTAAATACAAATGTTATTACTTTATGACTGTATTCAGGGTTGGGCGAATAACTTGAAAAATGTAATCCGTGACTGATTACAATTACATGATAAATAAAGTAATCAGTAAAGTAATCATTTGGATTTCTCAAAATTAGTAACCTAATCGGAATACATTTGGATTACTTTTGCATTACTTTCACTTCTAACACCCAGACATATTTTTTAAATGCTTAAAAATATAGCTTTTTTTTTGTAACATGGGTATTTCCAAATGGGGACTAGTGTAAGAGCCTAAAGATCCTATAATTCACATGTTCTATTCTATGTGTAAGACAGTGGAGGCTGCTGAGGGGAGGACTGCTCATAATAATGGCTGAAACGGAGCAAATGGAATGGCATCAAACATGTGTTTGATGTATTTGATACCATTCCATTCATACCGCTCCAACCGTTACCATGAGCCCGTCCTCCCCAATTAAGGTGCCACCAACCTCCTGTGGTGTAAGAGCACAGTCATAGGTTTCCATACTAACCTTTTCACTAGGTGGCACCAGCCCATGATTTGGTTGCACCACAATTGCTGGAGGGTCACCCAATATAAATAAATATTAGCCTCATCGTCTTATAATGTAATTCAAAGAGTTTCATTCTGAAGTGACTACTAAAATAGTATGATTCAAGAAATAAATGGTTTATTCTAACATCATATTCAAGCACAAATACATGATTCCAGATATATTGATGTGCAACCCCTAACCAGTGATTGTCATGAATTTGGGGTTTGGCAACTAGGCAATTGTTGTTATTATTTTACTATGAAAATAGGGTTCCAGAATTTTCATATTTATTTTGTTCAATAGATAATTATTTGTCTTTATCTTTTTGGGCACTAATATCATATAGGCTAATTTATTTGGGACTAATTACCCAACTGAGGAAGTGGTTAGCTAGATTGCTAACTCAAAATATAGCCTATTACTGATAGTTAGCCGTGTAATTGATATCTAACAGTACATTTAATGTATATGCCTATGCACCCACCTTGAATGGCCGAATGCCCTTTGTGGAATATTAAATACAATTCAGACCAGAAAGCTGAGACCCTTTTCTCTTCAACTGTAACAATATTGGTTGCTTTCAATAGTGTTTCCCCCGCGATTAAGCCTACATTTTGAAATATTGGGCAATCAGAAAGCATTTCACAAAGGAAAGAGAGAGTGAAACTGCACTGCTTCAAAGCAGCAAGCAGGAACTCTGTAGTCCAGACGATTCGGATTGACCAGTGAGCCAGGTGTAAATGTTTTGGAAGCCTTACCTATTCATTCAACCACAAAAGGAGCCATCCACCCTTGGTGGGCGATCATCAGAATAATAGAATCTCTGAGAGCATGTGAGAAGTGTTGATGGTGCGCTAAATGACAGCAATGATGACAAAGTTTTATCAAATGTTCCTCTTGATAATAGATTAAGTAATCCCGGAAGTAATCAGCTGTTTTTAAGAATGTAAGTAATCCGATTACACGTTTTATAAAGTAATCCGGGTTTATTAGTTACTTCATTTTTGTAATCCGATTACGTAATCCCAGTTATATGTAATCCGTTATTACCCAACCCTGACTGTATTACATAAAACAGTATGACATCATCTGTTCTCTTTTACGGAAGCAGAACAACTGATTATTTTGGCTCTTTAACTGACCTCTGTCTGTCTACAGTCCTGACCTCCATGTCTGAGCGGGACTTTATAGAGGGAAGGCGGCGTGCTCTGGGCCGGTTCATCAACCTAGTGGCACGACACCCCTTCTTCTCAGAGGACGAACTGGTCAAGACCTTTCTCACCTTCAACGGCTCGGTATGTCTCTGCTACTGAAAAGACCACCTTGCATCATCTCTGCTAGTTGTCTTCGCCAAGATCACTTTGTTATTGGGTTTGCCACGAATAATGACAGTATTGCTCACACAACTTTACTCTCTCTCTCTCTCAGGACGTTCAAGTGAAAATGCGTGATGCTTGCAAGAAAATGGGAGATGAATTCATGACGAATAGAATGGCAACTCTGGCAAAGGTTTGTGTTGTTTCTATTATGAAATACTGTATCAAATGACTTAGCTATTTGAAATCCTACTGAGATGCAGCAGTGTGAGTCTTTGTACATCTGTGCAATAGGAATATCTCCCAGCTGATATCCAGGCCCAGTTTTCATCAAGCAGGGAACTGATCAAGAATATCCACAACAGCTTTCACAAGCTGCGGGACCGGGCAGAGAAGATGGCAGAGCGCTCCAAGGAAAACGCCACTGATTTGCTAATGTTTGGAAGGGAGCTCAGGTACAGAACTCAGCATTTAAGGGCATAAAGCGCTCTTTCTCTATCGCCACTCTCTACACAAGTGTTTTGGCCCAAGGAAATGTATTATGTTAGCTATCCCAAGGATTTGTTTTTTTTCCTTTTCATGGTTCTCACTTAAAATCGTTTTTCTCAGCCGAGACACAGTACTGGTCCATCTTCACTAGTTATGCTTTCTGTTGCAGTACACTGGGCTCCGATGGTTCACCCATTCCCTCTCTGGCCTCATCCCAAAGCACCTGGGGCATTCTCCGTCAGTCTCTGAAAGGCCTTTCCGTAGAGTTTGCTCTGCTAGCCGACAAAGGTGCTCAGCAGGTACAATCCAGCTGACTGTATACGTACCACCTGCTCTACTGTGCTATTGCCAAACTCTACCTGCGTGCAAAACATAATCATTTATTCATTGATATCTTAAGGGGAGGAGAGAAGAGGACGATGTTGTGGAAAAACTGAATCTATTCTTGGATTTGCTGCAATCATACAGAGTAAGTTTGTTTGAGAAATGTAAAAAATGCAGTTACTGAAGAACTATGTAACAACATGTTAATACAATGTTACTAGTGTAATTACAAATTTACTACACAGGTATAAGAGCAACTTAATTTAGAGTGTTACCTATATATATGTCCCGTTTGGCTCAGTTGGTAGAGCATGGCGCTTGCAATGCCAGGGTTGTGGGTTCGATTCCCACGGGGGACCAGTACGAAAAAGTATGAAAATGTATGCACTCACTACCAGTGGCGGCTCCTGAAAAAATTCTCAGGGGGGGCAATTTTTCTGATGATTTAGGTGACCTACACAAATTTTAAAAAAGAGATGTCCAGCAACAACATGAAGACAGGGGCAGCATATAAGTCAATACCAGAAGCATTTATTGACTGATCTCAAAAGTGTTGGCTTACCAGGGTTGGTGGAGCCCTCAGTTTCATCTTTGCCTCGCAAAGCTAACTCAAACACTCCGCAAAACTTCACACACTGGATTAGCCGGCTGAGGATGTGGCGGTTCTTGCTAATGTCGTAGTAAATATATTTGTTATAGTGAATATGGAATATGATATGTTGAGTAAAATGTTGTGCTAAGATCTATTTAGGTCAGGAGCTGGTTATAAGTTCTGTTCCTATCCAATAACAATGGACAAAAGGGTCCTATCTTGTCAGCCTTGTCAGTTTCAGTTCTCCAGTAAACTTGTGATTATCAACACTAACCTCATCGTTGTGGCGGCGGACAGCTAGCCTGTATCCCTCATCCAGTTGAGTGGGAATGTTCACTCTCCCCAAAGCAGACAATCTCAAACAGCTATCCATGTGGGTCTTTGACAGCTCATGTTTCTTAATCTTTCCTGAAAGATGGTGCATGTCCGTTACACACCAGTCGCTGTCCAAGCGGTGCTGTCTGCCGTGCCGCCTTCAGGGTGAAAGAGTAAGCAGGGGGTAGCAGAAGACTGCATTAGCTGCATCGCAGCCTGCTAGCCAGGTTTTTCGTTCGTACCAATTTTTGGAAAATCCTCGGGTGTAGGACTTCCCCCCTTTAGTAGAAACCTGTTGAATTATTAAATTTGGTCTGGGAGGTCCTAATTGTTTCGTTGCCAATTTATCTTGATTTGTTCGCCGACAAAAAGTAACTTATTTCAAAGAGACAATCGAGTTGCACTGAACGCTATAGCCATCTTGATAGTAGTACGTGAATTGATTGATGAGGCTACCCGCTCTTTTCTTAGTTACGTTCATGGTTACGTTACGTATGACGAAAGCGCGTAAGTGCAAGCCCTCAGAAACCCATAGAGATTGTATTGAAAGCTCTGATATTTGAAAAAAATAGATTTTACATGGGAGTCTATGAGAGACTTCTGGGCGATTTTCAACCTGACTGAAATCGCCCCAAAAGGGGGGGGGGCCATTTGAAGCACGACTTTAGCCTGATTGGACATTTAGTGGCACTGTGGCAGATCAGACGTCTAGATTACAACACTGATAACTACTGTTGCCGTGATATAATTGATTAGAAAAAAAATCCCTTCCTTTTCCCGTTTGGCAGTGCGTCGCCCATATCGCCCTATTGAACACACCGCCCCTGCTCACTACTTACTGTAAGTCGCTCTGGGCAAGAGTGTCTGCTAAATGACTAAAATGTAAAAATGTAACAGGGTAGATGCTGCGCTTTAGTAATGTCTTACCCTGTGTGTGTGTGTGTGTTCCATAGGATCTGTGTGAGCGGCATGAGAAGGGAGTATTGCACGAGCACCAGAAAGCGCTGCAGAAGTATGGTATGATGAAGAGGCAGATGATGAGCGCCACAGTGCAGCCCAAAGAGCAGGTGTCTGTGGAGCAACTGGAGTCTCGCATTGTGCAGGTTTTCTTTCTCATTCATTCTATCTCTTTCCCTTCCCCTTTCTTTCTCTCTCACTCACTCACTCACACTCTCTCTCTCTCTCTGTGTGTGCTTGAAAACGCTGTTCCTTCCTCATTCACTCAGGGTTGTCACACGTCAAATCAACACTGTTTTGACATTATTAATACAGCTTTGTCAGCTTCATAGCACCCCTGCTAACATGAACACTATTCAATCTTCATTATGCTGAGACCAAACATCACAGGCCAATCCAATCTCCCTCGGAGAGACTGTGTCCTCTCTGACATTGAGAGGAAGGAGGGAACAGCATTTTCTCACATGCCATCATTGGGGAGTTGATTGATACCCTGGTATAAGGATTGATATCCTGGTACATCCTACCACATTTCTCATACTAAACCATCTTAGGACGATATTGCATTTGACAGTTGGGCATTTCAGCCTTTAGAATGGATCTCATATGTCATGTTTTTCAACACACTGACTCCTACAGACAAGGCCATGACAGCATAGTCTTATGATCAATGGGTTTGTTCCTCTTGATAACCATCATATGGTTGTGGTTTGTGAAGTAATAGTTTGTATCCTCCCCTAACAGCAAGAGAACGCCATTCAGACCATGGAACTGCGGAACTACTTCTCCCTGTTCTGCCTTCACCAGGAGACTCAGCTCATCTTCACTTACTTGCCCATCACCTCTCACATCCTGGGAGCCTTTGTCAACTCACAGGTCCAAGGACACCAAGAGGTGAGACTCACCTGGAAATATACAGTGTCATGCATGGATTTCTAAGGCTTGAGTTGAAGCAGTAGAGGTCACAGTTCATTAGGGGTGTGTGTGGATTGTAACTAGAATTGTAATCTTTAATAGATACACAATTATAAGATGATCGTCTTTGAATTTTGGTCAGAGGATGCTTTCACTATAACAGACTTCTTTGTTTGTTCGATAACTAGATGGGTGCAGTGTGGAATGATCTCCAGCCGAAGCTTGGGTGTCTCTTTGGTGTCAATGGAATGCAATCCCCTCCTCTTACACCCAAATAGACACCCATGCTCTCTCAACAAGCAATGAAGATGCTGCTTTGCAAGCCAAGATACAGTCAAAGTCTCAGAAGGGACTGATGGTGAACTGTTTTCATAAAACCTTGAAAAACACTACAAACTGTGCCTTAAGTAACAGTTGTGTGGTGGAGGGTAAACGCAAGTAGCCTAATGCAGTGTACTCACCTCTTTGTCTTTATGGGACAGTTTATCCACCTTTTGCAGAAAAATGCATTGAAGTATAGGGAGTGTTACTTTTTTTTCTGCTACCGGTGATCAGTTTACCCACCAATTTCTTTTTTTACCACTACATCACTGATTTCAATGAATGGATGTGGTCTGCAGCTCATGATATATTATACTGTACGTGCATCCTCATTAGGGATGTCACAGAGGTTGATCAAAGGAGCTCATTTGGAAGTGGAAGAGTGCTTTGAAGAATGTGTGCTGCTGCTGCTGCTGCACCACCGTTGATGCTGCACCACCGTTGATGCTGCACCACCGTTGATGCTGCACCACCGTTGATGCTGCCTTGCTGTACGAGAAGAGGACAATATTGCTTTCATAATTGATATACGGGGAACATTTTGTTGAAAAGGAATCCACAAAAAGCTGGACCTTTCTGTGTTATTTTGTAGCTCACTGCCTTTACCATATGAGGGACTTCTTAGCTACACTTCTTGGAGGATTATTCAGCTATGTTGAGGTATAATGTAGTGTCTTATTGCAGGCAGACAAATGTAAGAATGTATGTGCATGTAAGAAAACACTAATTAAGCTGATTGACAATGTTGCCACACAGGGAAGATGTGTTTCCTGGCCGCAGCCAGGGGGCGGCAATATACCCTTTTGTGTTTAAAATGACTAGTGTAAATGTTTAAGCTGTTTAGAAAGATTCTAATCAGGGCACAGCCTCATTTCCAAAAGACAGGCAAACCAATATATATTTAAGGAAATGTAGTAGCAGCATGCTATTCAATGGTTTGTTGTAAAATAAAACATAGACCACACTTGTGCAATTGGGCTTGCTAGCTTGTTGTCTTTATATTCATGCAAAGGACTTCAGATTCCTTGCTTCAATCGAATCTTAGTTGCAACACTGTGAAAAGCTACTTCAGTTTCTACGCCTGAGCCGAGCAAGCTATCAAGAGGAAGAGGTTTGATCAAATTAAAATAATGTGTGATTTATGGCTGTTATAACACTCCGTGACCATTGGTGAACATACCAAAGAAACCAAATGTGCTCTGTGTTAATGCTTCTAACCTGTTTGCAATGTTTCAGTTTCAATTAAGATTATATGGTGGTTCAGTGTTTTCTCAATGTAGATTTGAAGAAAACTAAATAGAATATTTTTCTTTGTGTATGTAATATTCTCTGATTTATCATTTATCTTGTCCTTTTATTCAAAGGTATACATTACAATTCCATGTCTAAAGAATAAGATTGTTGGTAAAGTTTGTCATTATTTGATCTGATTAAAAGTTTAACCAGCAATTTTTCACTCACAATTTTGAATGTTTACGTAACCTCTCTGTTCTTGCAAAATTCACCCTCTTCTTGCAGGATGGGCAAATTGCATGTATTTTACACGTAATGAATGAGGCTGTGTAATAAACAATGTCTCCCAATTAGAACTGAGTAATATTAGAGAGCTCCGGGGCAATATGTTGTTATTCTATGCATTATTTTTAGTCTTCTCTGTGGAACTGTTAATTGGTTCCTCACAAGTTCGTATTATTGTGTCAGAGATATTGTCATAATATTTTTGGCAAGTCTCAGATAATGAGAGGAACAAATGTTTTATATGATCTTTGAGAAAGAAAAGAGGAACTAGGTGAAGGATGTAGATACAGGAAAGTTTAACTATTGTACAGTTTTATGTTGAATCTCACTTGACGTTAAATAAAAAGTATCAGATACCGGTCTCATTATTACCCTTATGATACTAAATTGAATTAAACACGATGTTGAACAATCAAAATCATTGTCATTCCAATTTACCATACCACCTTTTTGAGAAAGTAACAAAAGAGGTGCAGCACATACTTCAACAATTTAATATAAACAAACACAATAGTGGAATGGGATACATATGTCATCAACATTTACACATCCAGTATTTAGTTTTGGCTCAGTGGGAATTCTTAGTACTGATTCACAGGCATATGGTTATCACTGGCAACTAAAAGCATTTGTAAATTTACAAAGATCTGGAGATTTCCTGGCACTGAATATGAACAAGGGTAGCTGGAATCAGTAGGAATTCTGCAGGTAGGCAACATGAGAGAATAATAATATGCCATTTAGCAGACGCTTTTATCCAAAGCGACTTACAGTCATGCGTGCATACATTTTTGTGTATGGGTGGTCCCGGGGATCGCACCCACTACCTTGGCATTACAAGCGCCGTGCTCTACCAGCTGAGCTACAGAGGACCACCTTTGATACAGTATGAATGAGTCAGAGGAGGCCAGTAGTCTGTCTCAAAGCTTGTCTACCTCCTCCAACTTGTGATCGATGATCAAGTCATGACCCAGAAATTTGAAGTAGCCCAAGAACTTCTTCTTTTGAAGCATCAGTGGAAACCACATAACATCATCAACCCACATTTGACTGAAGGGTATCTTGTCAGAGTCAAACCACTGTGGCCTCATCTCTATAAGAGAAAAAGTATAAGTTAGTGAGCTTCGTCAGACATTAGTCTAAGAAATGTCCATAGAAAGGCATGTAGTATAGGGTCAGCAGTTTTTTCCAGGAAAACTATGGGGTCTACGATTATAGCCTATTGGGCCATGAGTTTATCCTGGTCACAAAACTCCTGGCCCTAAATAGAATGATTGAGAATGAATACCATCTGACTCTGTTGGCTCCCCATTGTAGTTGTCAGCTCGGAAAACATGGACGTCAAGCAGCTCTGTTTCTCCGATGAATTCAAATGTGATATTTCCAATCTTATCAAGTGCATCCACTGTGAGGCCACTTTCCTCCTGCAGTTCTCTGGAGAGAACAACGTTTGTAAGTAGAGAGAAAGTAGCAGGAAAGTGTGTTGCCTTCAGACCAAAGTAGGAAAAAACTAGATAGCAGGCCTCATAACAGGAAATAGTCAGACCATGCCTACTGTAATGTCACAATATGACATGTATGAGGGTATATATACCGTGTTAGATACTGCCCAGTGCTGGAATCTGTTTACATGATTTTACATGCAAATTGTTAAACAAAACTGTAGGAAAAAAAAAATTTCAAGACACATCCAACTACCGAGGACTGCAACCAATCTCACCGCCTGGCAGCCTCTTCAATAGTCTCCCCAGATTGGATTTTGTCACCAAACCCATTCCACTTCCCTGCTCCGAACCCTCTCTTCTTCATGCCCAGCAGCACCCGTCCAGGCTGCACCACCAGCACCAGGGTCAGCAGCTTGTTGGTAAACATTGTACCTGTATTTATACATAATCAGTGTGCAATAATCAGTAGACCACAATCCATGGATGATCTCACTCTCTTTGTTGCATCGAAGCTACAGTATCTCTAGAGATGATACACAGCAGATTATTGAGAAGCATTCTGTAAGGCTATTTGCTGCCAAAACACACTATTGTAAGAGTTCTGGTATGCAAGACATCACAGCAGCAAACTTAAACTTGTAGCCTTTTATTGCCTTCTTCAAGTAGACTACCTTTACATTTTAGTCATTTAGCAGACGCTCTTATCCAGAGCGACTTTTTTTTTTTTTATACTGGCCCCCCGTGGGAATCGAACCCACAACTCTGGCGTTGCAAACGCCATGCTCTATCAACTGAGCTACATCCCTGCCGGCCATTCCCTCCCCTACCCTGGACGACGCTGGGCCAATTGTGCGCTGCCCATGAGTCTCCCGGTCGCAGCCGGCTACGACAGAGCCTGGATTCGAACCAGGATCTCTAGTGGCACAGTTATCTCTGCGATGCAGTGCCTTAGACCACTGCGCCACTCAGGAGTACACCTCCATGCAAATAACTTGCCCTTATAGCAATTTTTAGGTTGTCAATATAGTCCCTACGTGGTTTTCATAGATTAGAGTTATCCAGAAGAAATAACGAATATCTCCAATCCCGCGTTTACAGTAGCAAGGCCTGCCATGTGATTGTATTCAACATGTCGGGCACTGACGACCTTCTTTCTTCTTCAGTGGGGTTTATCAGCGGTTGGCATCCAACGTTATGGTGCATTACCGCCACCTACTGTACTGGAGTGTGGGCCAGAGACAGGGAGAATCTAAATCCTACCTATCAGCCCCGTTGCAAAAAATATTTGACACTATATCTAATGACGTTCTACTCAACATACTCTTTAAACGAATTTCCTGTATCCCCTTCTCCCTCATACTATATCTCATCCGGGCACTGACCTGTAGTATACGACATCGATATAAATACAATTTAGGATAAGGTCGGTCGTTTTAGTTAAATATCTGTGAAAATGTGTTACCCTCAAATATTGTCGACTGGAAACAGAAGTATAATGCCACACCATTTCAAAACAATTCCATAGTTGGTGAGATCAATTGCTGTAGTATTACGGTAACAGCTTTAATTACGCAACCTCATAATTTAACACGTTTGAAAACAAAATTATTGTCACGCGTTATAACTTTTCCTAAATAAGCAGATCTGCGTAGATTATGTGCATCCTTAACGTTCTCGGATACATTAATTAGCTGCGCTTAATTTAGCTCGCGCGGCGCGCCGGTAGGCGGATCACGCATCGTTCAATGTCGCCCTGCAGGACTACCGGCGATAAATCACAGAGTCGGCTGATTTTGACTAAATCGAGCGTATCCAAAAAAACTCACGTGATCAGGAAGTGCAGCTACAAAGTCAAACAAAATGCTGTCTGCCAGCAGCATTACATTTAGCTGAACAATGTGGTACTCGGTGTTACAAAAATCATATCTACATACCTCTGTACATCTCCTAAAAAAGGCTGCGTATAATCTGAAAGGAAAGAGTACTGCTGATCAGCGTTGGATAGTTCGGCAGCTTAATGACCCTTTTGTGAAGGCTGCCCATGTGCACAACTACCGGTGTAGAAGCGCCTTCAAACTGCTGGAGATTGATGACAAATACAAACTTTTAAAACCTGGATTCAACGTAATAGATTGTGGTGCTGCACCAGGTGCTTGGAGCCAGATAGCTGTTCACAGGGTCAACTCAACTGGGGCTAGTGAGTGCATCTTGTATTTACCCAACTGACAGATTAACACATGACATGCTGTTATAATTAACCTACCAGCCAGGCCAAATATATATTTTCCTGCATCTGACATTGTTCTGTCTGCCATGTTTATTTGTATTATTTATTTAACCTTTATTTTATCAGGGAGTCATACTGAGATGTTAGGTACAGTGGGACGTTTTGTAAAAGTGCTTTATAAATGAAAACATAGCAATGTATCAACCTACGTGACAACAGAGGGCCAACCAACATTCTGATAAAGAATGCAGTGATGAGTACTAAAATTGTCGCCCGTAATAAAACAGTACGCTATGATAAACTGTATCTTTAATCTTTAAACGGCTTTAAAGAAGTGGCAACTGCGTTCATATACAGTGCCTTGCAAAAGTATACATCCCCCTTGGCATTTTTCCTATTTTGTTGCATTACAACCTGTAATTTAAATCGACTTTTATTTGGATTTCATGTAATGGACATACACAAAATAGTCCAAATTGGTGAGGTGAAATGAAAAAAATAACCTGTTTCAAAAAAATAAATAACGGAAAGCTGGTGCGTGCATATGTATTCACCCCCTTTGCTATGAAGCCCCTAAATAAGATCTGGTGCAACCAATTACCTTCAGAAGTCACATAATTAGTTAAATAAAGTCCACCTGTGTACAATCTAAGTGTCAAATGATCTGTCACATGATCTCAGTATATATACACCTGTTCTGAAAGGCCCAGAGTCTGCAACACCACTAAGCAAGGGGCACCTTCAAGCAAGCGGCACCATGAAGACCAGGGAGCTCTCCAAACAGGTCAGGGACAAAGTTGTGGAGAAGTACAGATCAGGGTTGGGTTATAAAAAAATATCTGAAACTTTGAACATCCCACGGAGCACCATTAAATCCATTATTAAAAAATTGAAAGAATATGGCACCACAACAAACCTGCCAAGAGAGGGCCGCCCACCAAAACTCACAGACCAGGCAAGGAGGGCATTAATCAGAGAGGCAACAAGCCTGAAGGAGCTGCAAAGCTCCACAGCAGAGATAGGAGTATCTTTCCATAGGACCACTTTAAGCCGTACACCACCGGTCAAAAGTTTTAGAACACATTCAAGGGTTTTTCTTTATTTTTACTATTTTCTACGTTGTAGAATAATAGTGAAGACATCAAAACTATAAAATAACACATATGGAATCATGTAGTAACCAAAAAAGTGTTAAACAAATCAAAATATATATTATATTTGAGATTCTTCAAATAGCCACCCTTTGCCTTGATGACAGCTTTGCACACTCTTGGCATTCTCTCAACTAGCTTCATGAGGTAGTCACCTGGAATGCATTTCAATTAACAGGTGTGCCTTCTTAAAAGTTTATTTGTGGAATTTCTTTCCTCCTTAATGCGTTTGAGCCAATCAGTTGTGTTGTGACAAGGTAGGGGGGGTATACAGAAGATAGCCCTATTTGGTAAAAGACCAAGTCCATATTATGGCAAGAACAGCTTAAATAGGCAAAGAGAAACGACAGTCCATCATTACTTTAAGACATGAAGGTCAATACGTAAAATGTCAAGAACTTTGAAAGTTTCTTCAAGTGCAGTTGCAAAAACCATCAAGTGCTATGATGAAACTGGATCTCATGAGGACCGCCACAGGAAAGGAAGACCCAGAGTTACCTCTGCTGCAGAGGATAAGTTCATTAGAGTTACCAGCCTCAGAAATTGCAGCCCAAATAAATGCTTCACAGAGTTCAAGTAACAGACACATCTCAACATCAACTGTTCAGAGGAGACTGTGTGAATCAGGCCTTCATGGTCGAATTGCTGCAAAGAAACCACTACTAAAGGATAAGAAAAAGAGACCTGCTTGGGCCAAGAAACACAAGTAATGGACATTAGACCAGTGGAAATGTGTCCTTTGGTCTGGAGTCCAAATTTCAGATTTTTGGTTCCAACTGCTGTGTCTTTGTGAGACGCAGTGTGGGTGAACGGATGATCTCCGAACGTGTATTTCCCACTGTAAAGCATGCCGGAGGTGGTGTTATGGTGTGGGGGTGCTTTGCTGGTGACACTGCCTGTGATTTATTTAGAATTCAAGGCACACTTAACCAGCATGGCTACCACAGCATTCTGCAGCGATACGCCATACCATCTGGTTTGGTCTTAGTGGGACTATTGTTTGTTTTTCAACAGGACAATGACCCAACACACCTCCAGGCTGTGTAAGGGCTATTTTACGAAGACGGAGAGTGATGGAGAGCTGCATCAGATGACCTGGCCTCCACAATCCCCCGACCTCAACCCAATTGAGATGGTTTGGGATGAGTCGGACGGCAGAGTGAAGGAAAAGCAGCCAACAAGTGCTCTTCATATGTGGGAACTCCTTCAAGACTGTTGGAAAAGCATTCCAGGTGAAGCTGGTTGAGAGTGCCAAGAATGTGCAAAGATGTCAAGGCAAAGGGTGGCTATTTTTTGTTTACTACATGATTCCATATGTGTTATTTCATAGTTTTGATGTCTTCACTTTTATTCTACAATGTAAAAAGTAGTAAAAATAAAGAAAAACCCTTGAATGAGTAGGTGTCCAAACTTTTGACTGGTAGTGTATATATGGCCACTCCTCCCCCTTTCTGTAATCTGTCACATCTAAAACATTATAATAATTTACTTCAATGTCTTTATCAGATACAGAACCATTTAACCATGTTTCCGAGAGAACCGGAATGTCAGGACGAGTCCTGTAACCAAATGTCAATTGTGTCAATTTTTTGAATCATACTCCGCACATTTAGGTGCGTTATCCCAAGCCCCCTACAATATCTAATGTCAGAGGGGGTATTCAGCTCTTTAGGGCATAAGGTGAGCTGAGACTTTGCCAAGGTCCCTGGCCAATCCACGTGAGAGCAGAGTAGACTGAGCATTTGACAGACCTCCCTCAAGTCGCTGGATGCTGGGGTGGGAACTGGGAGAGCAGTGTTGGCAGAGCTCAGTCCACCCTGATGAAGTACCTGCCAAAGGAGTGGATCTGCTGCAGGGGATCGGAGTTGCTGCCAATGCTCCATTCTGTGTATGCACAGGAGGCCTTGATGTGGCTCCTGTTGCAGGGTTGGGGCTGCCATGGGGGGCAGGTGTGTCCCAGGCCTGTCCTGTGGATGAGACTAGGGAGGGTAACCAAAACAAGCCTGGGGGGGAATTGAGGAGGGTGGTGTGGAGGCTCCAAACTCTCAGCATATGAGGGCTGATGATGTGAATGATACATGGTGTGGACTGCATCATATGGTGCACTACCCTTGACAGTGTTTTTGCCAGACCCTAGGGTAGTGGTTGGTGCTTTGTAGAGCTAAGTTGAGGTGGGCCTGGTCTGGTAGAGCTGTGCTGTGATGGGCAGGGTCTGGTAGAGCTGTGCTGTGATGGGCCGGGTCTGGTTGAGCTGTGCTGTGATGGGCAGGGTCTGGTAGAGCTGTGCTGTGATGGGCCGGGTCTGGTTGAGCTGTGCTGTGATGGGCAGGGTCTGGTAGAGCTGTGCTGTGATGGGCCGGGTCTGGTTGAGCTGTGCTGTGATGGGCCGGGTCTGGTAGAGCTGTGCTGTGATGGGCCGGGTCTGGTTGAGCTGTGCTGTGATGGGCAGGGTCTGGTAGAGCTGTGCTGTGATGGGCCGGGTCTGGTTGAGCTGTGCTGAGGCGGGCCGGGTCTGGTAGAGCTGTGCTTTGATGGGCAGGGTCTGGTAGAGCTGTGCTGAGGCGGGCCGGGTCTGGTAGAGCTGTGCTGTGATGGGCAGGGTCTGGTAGAGCTGTGCTGAGGCGGGCCGGGTCTGGTAGAGCTGTGCTGTGATGGGCCGGGTCTGGTAGAGCTGTGCTGTGATGGGCAGGGTCTGGTAGAGCTGTGCTGTGATGGGCAGGGTCTGGTAGAGCTGTGCTGTGATGGGCAGGGTCTGGTAGAGCTGTGCTGTGATGGGCAGGGTCTGGTAGAGCTGTGCTTTGATGGGCCGGGTCTGGTAGAGCTGTGCTGAAGCAGGCCTGGTCTGGTAGCATGGAAGGGAGGTTGTAGGGGGAATTGAAGAGGGTGGTGTGGAGGGCAGTGTGGCCGGCGACGCTCCAAACTCTGCATGGGGCCTCTTTGACTGAGTACGGCTTGGGCATTGCTCAGTGTATCTGCATGCAATTCCTGGGAGAGAGGTGTTGTGGGGGGCAGTGTTGCTGGCTGTTCTCTAGGTCTAAAGGAGCGTCTGATTTGTCTCAGGGAGTTGGTGGCTGTTCTGTTGCTCCTGTGGGGTGAGGTGGACTGGCAACCCACAGCAACATCCTTTAACGTCCTGGCGAAGGTGGGGACTGCCTCTTTGTACAGGTCTACATTGTCGTAAAGACAGTCCAGGCTGAGGGGTGAGATGGTGGGCCAGGTGTACGTTGGACCATAGCACACAGTCCCTGAGAGAGGCTGGCATTTACCCTCTGGATGGTGGCAGGGTGGAAATCTCTCCTCTGGAGCAGGGTAGATATTCGCAAAGGGGAAGATGTTGGAGACCCTCTCTCCTGTTAGGCGCGCAGGTCATTGGTCCCTGTGTGAATGATGATATGGCTTGGGGAGACAAGCTGGGCCACAGCTCTCTCTGTTGTGGGGCACCATAACTTTGACACTTTTATTTGGGAAAAGTTTATTCTCTAATATAAACTTTCCATTTGAGTCCATCAATAATATAATGTCTGGTTTCTCGTCAGGTCTATGGAGGATGGCAGGAGTGATGGGAGAATTACAGGCCGTGAGATTGAGGGGGTCTGCTGGGTTGGTGCATTGGTTGGTGGGTTCTGATTCAGCGGTTGGCCTGGTCCCGGGTTTTTGTGGGACTCTTTGTAGAGTGGATGGTGGTGGCTGAGAAATTCCTGCCTTAGCTCATGTAGCTCCTTCTGCAGGTTGTGCATGTGGCTGGTGTTGACTGAGCTGGACAATTCCTCTCCAAGTCTGCACACGTCCATCCTGAGAGCCTGGTTGTCCTCCTCAACATTCTTCATTGCACACTGCAACTCCCGGATCTCATCCCTATGCTAAAGCACCAGGCTGATATCTATAATATGCTGTGGTACTGCAGGTGTCACGTGTGAGAGAAGCATGCTCAGGGTTGTGTCTGTTGCAGGCGAGGGAGGGAGAGGGACACTGGGGACTACATACTAGGGCACAGAGGGAAGGGAGGCTGTTGTAGGTAGTGACAGTGGAGAGGTTTTAAGTTCAGCAACAAGGTTTTATTTAGTCGAAGTAGTGGACAAATTGATCCAGACTGGCCTCCGAAACTTGAACCCTCACAGTGCCGTTATAATAAATATGAATGTTACATTTGGGGGAGGAGTCAATGTACAGTTGTCTCATTGTTCTGTTTTCGGACATTTTAAAAGTTCATTGTTGGTCTTGTGGAGAGCTGTGTGCCAGGCATTAGGATCATCAGTGTGCCATCAGTGAAATAAATTGTCAAGGCTTGACAGTGTTATCCAATGTCCTTTTAGCACGAGAAGCTGTGAAAATGAGTTATGACAGTAGTTCTACACTGCATGACCTCTTGCATGTTTTGTTACTTCCAGATGGAGAATTCCCCCGTGGCACTGTGGTTGGGATTGACCTTCTGCGCATAGCACCTCTAGATGGAGCCCACTTCCTGTCCAATCATGACATCACTGATCCTGTCACACATACCAAGCTGCTTGAACTTCTCCCTGGTGCCCAGGCTCATGTCATCATGAGTGATATGGCACCCAATGCCAGTGGTTTCAAGGAGATGGACCATGAAAAACTCATCACAATGTCATTGTCATTGATTGATTTGGCTGAGAAGGTGTTGCAGACTGGTGGCTCTCTGATTTGTAAGTATTGGGACGGGGCATTGGCGCACCAGCTTCAGCAGAAGCTTTCAGCTGTGTTCCGTGAAGTCAGGACAGTCAAACCAAAAGCCAGCCGAAAGGAGTCGTCAGAGTTGTTTTTCCTTGCCAGGTCGTATAGAGAAATAAAATAGTCTGATTGTATATTTTCATGTGTATTGTAAGCTTTGTTGACCTGCAAAGAAAGGCTTTAGGTGCTAAAGCACTTGAGGAGCCCCTCTATTTCTCCTTCCTGAATGTACTTTTTGTAAAAATCTATAATATTCTATGATATCTTTACCAACTCATTAAAATCTATGGATATTCTACAATGATTTGCATTATTCAACATCTACAATTCTTGAAACCTTTCCTAAAATATTTTAGGCATACTATATAAGTACAAGTCAACAGTTTTTTCCCCATCCATTCCACATCTCTAAATCCAACAATAAATTTGGATCAAGCATGCATCATTCATTTCTCACTTGAGGTGAAATATTTAGCCTACCAGAAGATGGCACCCTTGAGGCATCAATAAGCTGTGCATTTGCAGGCCAATAATGTCTTATTAGGGGCTGTTTCCATCTTTACCTACAGACAAGGTGATACCAACATCTATGGGCCAGAATGTATTTAATGTATTAAGCCCTTATCATCAGAGCCACCGTGTTCCTCATGTTCTGTGCATGTCAGAACTATTCTTTTCCCTTTGTCAGGCATGTTTGAAGTATTACAAAATACATGTGGTATTTGTTTGATAAGAAATATTCCAGTTTGCCATTTGTAATGCTTATAATCTGCTTTGCCAGCCATGTAGATACATGTAATCATTCTCTCATTTAGGGCTTATAAAGGGAAAAATAGCCATGGACAGCATGACTAATGAAAAGGCTGATGCCACTGAAGCTGTGCATTATAAATAGTGTTGGGCTTCGTTCTCAGAGAGCGGGGATGTGCTCTTCAAAACATCATCAGGTTGGCATTTGAATGCTCTGCTTGAAATTATGTGATTTTGCATTATTTTAGCCAAGTGGACTGCCACTGATTGAGATTTCCCTCAGATACAGATGAAGGCCCACAGTAGTGTTGATTTGGCACTATTTACTTTGCCTGTTTTTCTCTCTAGGCGTATCACTGACTACTCTCTGTAATTCTATGGCTCTCAGGGTTTGAAAGTACTCTGCTGATTTTACCAGGAACAAAGAAACAAATGTATCAGAACTGTGCAAAGGACTGAGAAGACAATTACATGTGATGGGGACAGGAGAAACAGATACAAATGTCCCTTAATATCAAATATGATGAAAAGAAGCTCATCCTAAAGATTGAAGGTTTCATATATTTGATGCTAAACATTGGTGGAGGGGACCTGTCTCCATGATAATATTATAATCCTTCATACAATTAGCCAGTGAGCTGTGACTTTCAAGCCATGGATACCTCCCTGTTATCTCCTCAGTTATATAAGTGATCAGCAGCTAGATTGTAAAGGGTTCATTGTTGGTGCATTGGGTTCCACATGACTTGTGTTACAGCACATAGAATGAATAGTAATGTGGACATCAGAGCCTGCACAAAAATATTAGGTTTGTGCACGACAAATCAACCTAGTTTTAAATCTTGTCTACATGGTATTGACCACTGGACTCAACATTGAATTATGTTTTTCAAATACCTTCACTTTTCATAAATCATTGATGACCAAAGCCACAAATAATGTCCAGTTAAATGCCTTAGAACAGACTGAATGAGCAAGGAATTTCTATTCAATACTCCTTCAACCTGAAACTAGCACTGACTATACACATTCCATAGAGTGGTTTGGAGCCAGTCACCTTTACCATAAAACATTGTGCATTGGTAGGAGAGGACGTAATAGATGACATTGTACACTGTGTGAGCTGATATGCTGTCCTATTTCTTTCCACCTCCGTGGTAACCTCAAGTTCGATTTGTTATTGCTGCTGACACAGAGGTGAACGATGAACCACAACCAATGTGACGGTTTCACCTGCTCCTGCAGGAGAGTGTGCAAAGAACTTCTGAAGTAAACTAGTGTCTAGTCATTTGCCCTTCCATTATTGTCTTTGAAGAGTCCTCACTTTCCAGCTTCAGGGACATTTCACCAGTTTCTGTAATGTAGTGTAAATCCTCAATACAGGTGGTTGTGAAGTGCCTGTGGAGTTTTACCAGAGCCCTGATAGACCGCTTTACCTGCTGTTCATAGCAATGGGTTTAGTATGCCAATTATAAGGCATGAGTTAATTGGGAATGATTTCACATTCGTAAATGGGCATTTATTTTGCTGTCTTTACAAACCCTGATGTAAAAATGAATTCTGATGCCAGCTTCTGTGTTCAGCCATCCCCAAGTATAATGTCTACCAGCTGTTTTTCAGAATTGTACATCCTTTACAAGTTACAAAAGAATGAGACGTAAGTATTTTATGGGTCACAACAAAAGATAACCTCTTAAATTCATATTCTTTTCAAATTGATTTTTCAAATAGAACTTTGACCGTATCTTACAATTGGGGTTGTTCATACTAAATTGGTGAAACAAAACATATTTCTTTTAGCAGAGTGCCTAACAGTGTTTTAACATTTCTACTGAATAAAACCTCTCAAAGGTTTAATTTTATTTAATTAATCACCTGCTCTCAGGCATAGGCTGAATATACTCTACATGAATAAATGCCCTTCAAATTACCACTGAGTTAATATCCTTGTTGAAATCTGATTAAAACCTAAAATTGAGTTTTTTGAAGTCTGATTATCCCATGAAATTGAATTTTTTTACCTAATTATGACTTGATTTGAATGTATTTATGGCACAAATGAAATAGATAGTTCATGTTAATGTATTAATTAAATCTGCTTATTTGGTTTCCTTTAGGCAACCTGTCACTTTCTTAAGGAATGATGACTGAATATACATTGTTGAACACATTTCTGCCCCTGCTGAAATTACGTTTATAAAGAAGAAACCTTTAATCTCAATTGTTTGTCCGTTGATGGAGAGGAAAATGTGAAAAGCTGACCCATTTTTTTCAGCTCATTACTTGTTGATCATCCACTTCTTCGATATTTAAATCACATTTTAATATTATTCCCAAAACACTGTGTGCTGCTGATACATATTTAGATACAATCCCTTTGCACTTGTTACTTATGTTGCTGAAGGGCTAGGCACAATGCTTTGCAGGTTAATTTACCTTTGTGGAGACAGCTGGTGGCTTTTATGTAAATACTAGTCAATTAAGCTAAAAAATATATATTTTCGAGGCACTATAAATTCCTTCAAATTCAATTATGGAAATGATCACCTCTTTAATCATCTGGCTTGTGAACAAACTTCCACTGCTTTAGAGGAACTGTTTGAAGATAACTTTCTAATGTGTTTCCTTTCTTTCAGGCAGCACTAGGGATTTCCAATAAACTTTCTCATGGATTGTGGTGGAAATGTATTCCCACAGGGATTGTTAATAGATGTAGCTACCTGGCTCCGTCAGCAATGAGTTAATTTGCTCTTGTGCTAAAAGCCTTTATCCTGGAGTTTAGGAGCCTCTCTTTTAGTGGTTAAATTCATGAAGTGTTGGCTTGGGCCTGAATGTAATGTGATGTTGTCTGTAGTCATTTGAGTTCAGAGTTGGATGACACATGAGAAATTGGTGCTTGTCAAGGATTCGGCCTTTAGAGAAGGACTAAGAAAGTTGCCAACCGAGTATTCCATGCAGATCCTGACACTTAGCTATTACTTGTTAAAGGATTGCCTTTGCTTAACAAAATGTAAAACTTGTGACGTGAAAACAGTTTAAAAAAAGTACATTTCCAGGAAAAAGTATGTATTTTCTAGTCACCTCCTCATCTTACTTTGACACAGCAGAAAAACACTAATTTTAGAGCATTGATTCACAGTGCCCATATGACCACATCTGTATGACATCAAAGAAAGAGTAAGATCAAATGTGACTGCATTAGAACAACAACACAGTTGACTCAATAATCAGTTCACTGCATTAGGATCCTGCATTCACTTCTTGGAAGAAGAAATGGAAGAAGTAAAACTACATCTACCAACTTTCACCCCCTAGCTTGTTGAATAGACTTTTAGGCCATTATCCACTTATCCAATTTTATGTGCAAGCACAAATCATGGTTGACTGGCCAAGCATTCACAGAAGCAGAAGAATGACTATTTCATAACTGCACTCACAGTTAAATGAACATGAAATTGACACTTTACAGATTTAGCAGATGCTCTTATCCAGAAATCTCTTGATGATGAATGTTTGCCTTTCTTTGTGTTATCAATGACACTTACATTTCATAATGTTGATGGTTCAGCTACGTCAATTGACACAGAGACGCTGAGAGACTTGTCTGCAAACATCTAGGTGCAGGCCCTCCTGAAGGATGTGGGAGGGTACAATGAGGCATGCAATTGAATATTCATACCTGTTCAGCATTAGGTTGCCAATATAAAACAGTATGTGCTTAAGTGGCTCTCTCTACACCAGGCAAAAGGCTTTCAGACATGTGTCCAAACTGCTCTCTTCAATTAGACATTTCTCTTTCTAGCATAAATGTTCAAAATTACACCCGTCCAGGAGTACTCAAGGGTTAGCTCTCCTCATCAGCTGTCTCCCAGGCTAGTCTAAGGCAGATCAATTTAATTCCATTTTGGAGAGAGGGAGGGAGGAGATAGAGACACAGGGCATTGTCTCCTTTAATTCAGGTAGTATCTGAAACCCCATATATGTTCTTACTGTATAAAGTACCTATAGGCCACATGGACTTCCATATAGTCCCCATTAGAAGTTTCTCTTTTAATTGCATGAGAGAGCTTTGAGAGAGCTATTAGGATCCTCTGCCATGGACCAATTATTCCTTTCATTTAATTAACTTGTCAAGGGACAGGTGTGTAACTGGTTTCTGGGGTTACAGGGCTGGATCGCAGGCTGGTGGACAGTATAAATGAGAAGTTACAGCCGGAATGGAGCGTGTGGTGAGACAGGTGGTGCAAGGGCTAGTTCTGGGGCATCTTGCTTCGTTACCTGTCAGACGGGAAATTATTTGGATCCCACTACAAGGAAAACATGGGAGATGTTGATGATTTATTCACAAAAATGTAGCAAGTACATTTATTATCTGCACTTTCTATCTGCTACAAATTAGCCCATGACATGTAATTTGAACATGATATAGAAGGGACCTCTCAGGGCAAGCACTAAAATACTTAAACTAAACTAAACCCTGACTGATTTGTAAGTAAGTGTACAGTTGATAATATTCCTGTTTAAAATTCACTGATGATGCTTAAGGGAACTTATTTTTTCCCCAAATAA